GGAAGGGGAGGGAGAGGTGGATGCATTGTTCTGTCTTTATTTTTACTCTAAACACATCTCCAACTGCCTGTTTTCTTTTCATTTTCTTCTATATTTCCTTATCCAAATTCAACTAATCTTCAGTTCAGGAAGAAAAAAAATGGTGTTCTTTGGCTTTTCTTTGTTAATCGTGAAAAGAATTCATGGGACAAAAAAGAAGTGGCCCTACCTCAACCATGCTGCACTCAAACCTTGATTTCAGATTGGTGAGATGGTTCCCATGGATTCAAGTGCCTGGTGCCTGGTTCACGGCTGACGGGTGTGTACAAACCCAAGGGCGCAGGGCATCTCTTCAGGGGGTGGAAAATCTGAGTGCAGCTCCAGTTCTAAGGCCTCATTGTCTTGTTCTTTGGCTGCATCAAGGGGTCTTTTTATGTCCTTCCTGTGTTTGTAGTAGATGCTCGTGGATGCTGGATTTTGCATTTTTGCAAAAAAAAAGAGGAAAGCATGAGTTCCAGCCACAGACCAACAAACATGGCTTAGATTATGCTATGTTTTGATTGGAATGCATCGCGGATGGTATTTGAATTTTATTTTAGTCACTTCACGAATTTGACTCTCCAATCTCAGTAACTGGTGCAGTCAAAGTTTGGCATCTCATCTACTCATAAGTTTAAATAAATTGATCAATGAAAATGTGTTGAGAGAGGACTTTCTCTGAGCAGAGCATATGGTGCTCTTCCTTACACCCGTGGAGAAGTAAGAATGTAGGAGGATTCTAAATTCATTTCTTTTAGTGAACAGGTTTTAGTTTGAGGATTTTTAGATCTGTTTTTTCAGAAGTCATCAGTCTGTTATTTATCAGTGATCACATGTGCAAGTTGTTTTTTTATTTAAGTTGCTAGAAACTTCTCCAGATGTTTAAAACAGAAGCAGTATATTGTGGAAAGTATTGTCCAGATGATGTGTAACAATATTTGATCCAGAGCTGCTGCTCCCCCCACCCCCCAAAAGGGACATTTTTTTTCTGAACAAGGACATCAAAATGGTTTTTACATAGACCCAGTGGTGCAGATTTCATAGTGAATAGTTGTTATTTATTGACATTGATCTAGATATTCAGCATTAGTCTGGGTTCTCTGAGTAGCAGATGCCAAGATAGGAACAGAAGTATGAGCTCTGTTGGGTGAAATGCCTGGGAGGGAAAATGGGGAGGCCACTGAATGACTGGGAGAGCCATCAGATGGAAAGGCATGTCTGACCTGAGATGAGAGGGGTACAGAAGGAAAAGAGGTCTTGGGCTGCAGTGCTGTTGTTCTAAGACAGTTTTGGCAAGTTCAATGGGAAGTCCTTGAGCTAAAATTTCCCAGGATAGAGGAGTATCACACCTTGCAGGGAGGGGCCTGCCTGGGACTGGAGTTGTGGGCTTCACCACAGACAAGGTGGCAGAACCAGAGGGCACAGCTAGAGCCAGTCAGTTTTGCGACCAGAGATGCATTCTCATGGCCACTATGTATGTGAATATTAGACTACCAAATGCCTTGCTGAACATGTGTCTAATTATGGAATACATTAAATTGTACCCAGATAGTAGAAAATAAATGCTGTATTGCTATAGAGACAAAGTAGGCTAATTCCTTGAGACATTTTATGTCTTTGTTGATGTGTTTATTTTTTAGGCCCTTAAAATATATATATATACTTTAATGAATTAAATCAAATTTAGGAACTTACTTGGTTTGCAAATTGCATAGTCAACAGAGAGTGTGCCTTAAATTTTAAAGATTTTTGTACTAGGATTTGTGCAAGAAGACTGGGAGCTTAGGTCCTATTAATGATTCCTAGGACTTTCAATCTTGCAGGGGGGAAAAAGACAAAAAGATTTTGGAAAGAAAACTGTACTTCTTTGAAAGTCACATTTGAAACTGCCTTGAACGTGATGCTGAAAGTGAATCCCTTTCAAGAAAAACAGCTCTCAGCATTGGTTAAACACGGGGTCAGAGGCCTTGCTGAATATCAAGTAGTGACCTCCAGAGTTATAATGGTCTATAAATGACCAACTTGATCTTAGAGAAAGCACCCATGTAGCCTTTATTTCTGGGACCCAAACCTCAGTGTTCTGGAAGAGCACTTATTATTTTCAATATAAAAGAGCGTAGTCACATCAGTGTCACTGTGAGTGCATCTTGCTGCCTTCGAATGACCGCCTCAGTGGCTCCTTGTTTGCCACACCTCGCCCACCCCGGCGCCGAGCACGGGTGCCCTTCCCTTCCGCAGTCGGACTCTCTCTTCTCAGCCCCATTCACAACTTTCAGAAGCTTGTTTCAAGCGATGGCCATTGGCCACTGGGCTTTTGCAAATAAGATATAAGGTTGGGTGTAGGTGTTAAGATTTCAAAGTGTATTTGTTGGTACTTTCTTGAAAATGCTTTATCTTGTTAGTTTGTATTGATAGTTTAAAATATTATATGCTTATTATGTTAAAAAGATGGAAAATGGGAATTGGAATGAGAGGAATTAAAGAGGAAAATGGACTCAGAGAGAACTGGCTAAGTGCAGTTGACGTACGTCACACTTGTGTCCATTCCGTCCTTCTGCACACCTGGGCCTGGCCCGAGCTCAGGGCACAGAGGCTGTGTGGCATCCCAGGGTCATTCCAAGGACGCTGCCATCGGACGTTGATCTAAGCCTCGGCGTTCCATGTAAATGAGGCATCAGCCCATAGGGGTCAGAGACAGCAAATTCATTAAGAAGCCATAGAAGATCAGGAAACCAGGATAAACCAAGAAGGTTTGAAAGAAAGTATGGTAGTTAGAGCAGTGGGATTTTATCTTGTCTTGTTGGGCAAAAATAAAGTTACTACAAGTACTAAACTAAGGTGCGTTAAAAAAATTGCAGCCTTGCCTGGCCGGTGTTGCTCAATGGATTGAGCATTGTCCTGTGCACCAGGAGGTTGCTGGTTTGATTCCTGGTCAGGGCACATGCCCGGGTTAGGGGCTTTGATCCCCAGGAGGGGGCTTGCAGGAGGCAGCAGATTGATGGTTTTCTCTCATCGGTGTTTCTCCCTCCCTCTTCCTTTCTCTTTAAATCAATAAAGTATTTTTTAAAAATAAATTAAAAATTGCAGCTTTGATATACAATTCATGTACCACACAGTTCACCCATTTAAAGTATACAATTCAGTGGTTTTTAGAGTATTTGCAGAGTAAATTTACAGAGTGCAGCCATTCATCACAATTAATTTTACAACATTTTCATCACCCTCAAAAGAAAACTGTGTGCATTAGCTATCACTCTTCATTTTCTCCCAATTCCCCCTGCCTAGGCAACCAGCAGTCTACTTCATTTCTCTGGATTTGCCTGTTTTGGACATCNTCCCAATTCCCCCTGCCTAGGCAACCAGCAGTCTACTTCATTTCTCTGGACATTTCATATAAGTGAAATTATACAATATGTGCCTTTTGTGTCTGGCTTCTCTTACTTAGCATGTTTTCAAGGGCCATCCATGTTGTAGCATGTCAGTACTTTATTCTTTTTTATTGCTGAATAATATTCATACCATATTTTATTTATCCATTCATCAGTTGATGGACATTTGGGTTATTTCCTTTTGGGCTATTACGAAAAATGTTGCTCTGAACATGTGGGTACAAGTTTTTGTGTAGGCATATTTTTATTTCTCGTGGGAATATGCCTAGGAGCAGAATTGCTTGGTCATACGGTAACTCTGTTTAACCTTTTGAGATACTGCCAACTATTCATAAAGCAGCTGCACCTTTTGATATTCCCACAGCAATGTACAAAGGTTCCAGTTCTCCACCTCCTGGCTAACACCTGTTGTCTGCTTTTTATTGCTTGAGATTTGGTATCTCATTGTAGTTTTGATTTGCATTTCTCTTATAACTAATTACTCTTGAACGTCTCTTCATGTGCTTATTCACCATTTGTATATATTTTTTAGAGAAATGGCCATTCAGGTCCTTTGGCCATTTTTAAATTGGATTGTCTTTTAATTATTGGGTTGTAGGAGTTCTTTATAAATTCTAGTACAAGTCTTACAATATATGATTTTCACACATTTTCATGCATTCTATGAAATGCTTTTTCACTTTTTTGATGGTGTGTATCATTTGAAATACAACATTTTAAAGTTTTAATTATATCCATTTAATCTATTTTTTTCTTTTGTTACTTGTGCTTTTGGTGTTATACCTAAGAAACTATTGCCTAATCTAAGGTCATGAAGATTTCTTCTAAGAGTTTTCTTCTAAGAGTTTTATAATTTTAGCTCTTACATTTAGATCTTTGACCCACTTTAATTACTTTTTGTATTCTTTTTATGTGGATATCTAGTTGTGCCATTACCATTTGTTGGAAGGACTGTGCTTTCTTCCATTGAATTATCTTGGCACCTTGTTGACATGGGTGGCGTTTCTTAGGCAAGTTTTAATTTGTTGGCTTTTTTTTCCATTGAGATCGGCGTTTTTTTGTTACTAAATGGTTTATTTATAGGTAGTTGCATTTTACAAATGTATCTTTTACTACGTGTGCAGGGAGGAAAAGCCTTTGATAGAATAAAGCATACTAGAACATATTACTATGGATGTATTTCATCCAGGTGGAGCCAGGGCCTTGGATTGGGTATCCTGAACCAGTCCTGCTTACACTTTCATGTGCATTCAGATTCCTTGGAGAAAGTACAGATTCTTGTTTTCTGGTTCTGGAATTGAGTGTGGGATTCTGCATTTCCAACGAGCTCCAGGACATGCTGTGGTGCTGGTCCTGGAACTTACGCTTTGAGTCATAGCTCTAGAGGGACTTGCTAGTGTGATCTGGTTCAGTGTTGTTATAGCTACTTATTGAAAGTGAGTCAGAAGGGAAATAAAAATTGCTTATTTTGAATTCAGTGTTTTTGTATTTTATTTAATAACCTTCAAGGTGAAAAACCACCATGTAGAGAAATAGAATAAAAGCTCCAGTGGCACTTTTGCTAATCTGGATTATTTTCTATCTTCCTTTTAGGCCTCTGATGATTGTCACTCAGAAGATCACAACCTTGGCATTCCAAGTTCATGATGGTGAGAAAAACAACACTCTTCCTCACTCTGAGTCCACCTGACATTTTTATACTCTGTACACAGTCCCAGGTTTAGACAAGTGCTGGTCGATCTTGCTATATTTTGTCAAAAATGTGTAAGCCTCTTTAAGCATAGCTTTTAGCTTTCCCAGCTATTATTTACCATTTCCCTCCTGAATCTGTAGCCTCAATTTGCTGAAATATTTGCATTGAGAACAGTGGGCTTTTTGTTTACCTTGACAGTGTTTTAAATTTAACTTATGGTGCTCTCTGCCCTTCATTTCCAAATTTGTTAAGAAAAATGGTGTGTTTCTTTGGTTTAATCCCTGAGAAGCTCATGAGGTAATCAACAGTTAAACAGCATTGACTGATTAACAGTTTTTAATGCTAGGTTTTTATTTGTTTGGTTTGGAAAATTATCTTATTAATTATGTTAGCCTGACCCTCGAAAAAGCTGGGAGAAAAGTCTTCTGTTTGTATAAAAACTGAACATTTTCTTTACTGAGGCGCTTTCTCAAAATGGCCAGAAAATGTGATTTCCATTCTTAAAAAACTGGGTTCCAGGGAAGGAAATGGCACTTCCACTGGGTGGAAGATGGGCATAAGCGATGCCAGGTGCAGTTAGTAAAAGTATATTTTGAGGATTTGTACCTCTCTGGGAACCGCTTTCTGATGGCTGAAACTTCTTTATGTGCTGACAGGTTGAGAAGATGGACAGTTTCCTCTATCTTGTTTTTTCTTAAAGCTTGAAAACTAATTTCCTTTTGACCCTGTGTGTTTCTCATTCATACTTAGTGACTTAGTCATTCTGTAGCAAACTAGGTAATTTTATACCAAGGATGGAGTCTTTCTAAAGCAGGGTGGGGACCGTCCGACCCTCGAGCCATATACGGCCTGCAAAATCATTTGGTCTGGTCCTGCCAAGGCCTCACCGAAGAGAAGCAGTTCCAGCCATCACCTTAGGGATGAGTTAATTAAATGTTTGACCAAATATAGCAGGCTAATTTTTAATTTGATAATTTTGTATGTCCCTTGAATGATCTTATAAATATCCAAATGGCTCTTGGCAGAATAAAAGTTCCCTACCCCTGTTCTAGGGTGACAGCTGCCTGGTTTGCTCAGAACTGAGAGGTTTCCCAAGATGTAAGACTTTTTGTGCCCAAACTGACAAAGTCCTGGGCAAACCAGGTTGAGTTAGCCAACATTTTTGTACCTGAAAATCCACTTGGTAGCGGTTAGAGACTAACGTCAGCAACGTAAATCAGTAGCTAAAATCAATTTAATTTCTGGGATTGCCAGATTTGTACTATTTGATGAGGTCTTAAAAGAGTATGGTGTTTTTTGTTGTTTTTTTTAACTTTGCTTCTTGTGTTTTTTTGTGTTTTTTATGTAAGTCTTTTGCCTGAATTTACTTTTGTAAGCATTCTCAGTTTACTTGATTTTCTGGAACAACCCTTACATGCAGAAAAATGTTTATTTGCCTTTGTCTTTTTTTCTTGTGTGTGGAGGAAAGAAGTAAATTCTGGAACCACTCTCTCTTCTCTTAGGCATGGTTTTGAGTTGCCTTTATGATTGGTCACCATGTCAGTCTTTGCTGAGGATACAGTTTTAAACTTGACTACCTAGTGCTTATGAGAGGACCCTTCAGTTTCTTTGACACAAAGTTAACATACATTTTATGAGAAGCACAAGTGTGATTTGGTTGGGAGTTTTTCTGGCATGGTTGAGTTTTAAAAGAAGTACAACCTCCTGTTAATTCTTTTGTGTTTTCCCTGCATTCAGGGTTATGCTTCCTGTGTTTTGGGAGAGGAAAGTCCCTATTTCTTTCCTCATTATATTCCACACCCATGCTCTCAGCTTGTACCAGGTGTCTGCACCCCGCATATCAGAGAGGTATTTATGCTAGTGTAGCTGCAAAGGCAGGCTTATTTCTCTCATGTAGCAACACACATATACAGCTTGGTAAGGAGTGTAGGAGGTGTGGAGGGTTCTCTGGGATTTGTGTCATAGCATGGGAATCAACTTGAAGTAACCCCTGAATTTCTGCCGCCTCATAAGGACCTGTAGAGACTCTCCTTATACATGGACTTATGGGTAGTGTTTTCATCCAGGGCATTTAATAAAATGGAAAATTTTGATTTATGAAACAATAATCACTTTTTTCAAATGAGTTTTATAAGCCTCTTTTAAGATTAATTATCTACTTCATGTCAAACATTTCATTTTTTCTTTCTCCTAGGACTAGGTCGAAGAGCTGAAGACTTGTCTGCTGAGCAACATCGACTTGCCATAAAGTAAGTTAACAATGGCTTCTTGAGTGCTTTGTATGTCAGTATCTAGAAATCTTCTATTTTTAAATACTCACCCGAGGATGTGTTTTTTATTGATTTCAGAGAGAGAGAAACATTGATCAGTTGCCTCCCATATGCACTGTGACCTAGGTATGTGCCCTGACCCGGAATCTAATCCAGCCAACTGAGCCACCTGGCCTGGAGAGACCTTCATTTTTTAAATATTTGCAAACGAGCTCCATTATGTGGATGTAATATTGTTTATTTAATGAATCTGCTATTGGTTGACACTTGGATGTTTACCAGTCTCTGGCTTTTGCAAATGGTAATGATGAATAACCCTGTCCATAGGTATTTCATATGGGTTTGGGTAGAGCTGTAGGATAGATTCCCAGAAGTGGGATTGCTGGACCAAAGTGTAAATGGATCTGTAATTTTGTTTGTTTTGCAGGATTCTCCTTCACTGGGGTTGCTATTGCCTATTCCAGAACTATTTTTATTGGGCATGTGTCTCAGGGTCCTCAAGAAACAGTTATCAGTACACATCAGTATGATTAAATACCAGCATGAAAAAAGATAGGAAGTAAAGCTGGAGAGAGAAATAGGTGGCTGGGGATAGAGGGAAGGAAGAAGGTTGAAGGTGGACTTCAGCCAGTGTTGATGCTAGTACAAAGGAGGTGGGTGTTGGAGAGGGAGGGAGGCTATGCAAAGTATGAAAATAGAAATGACATGTGGTGTAGCATATTGGGAATGGCGGTGCAGCCCTGGCCAAGAGTCCCTACTAGAGAGTAGTAGGAGATAACTGGGAAAAGTGAGAGGGTCCCAGGTGGTAAGGAGATTAAGTGCCTCATTTCTTCATTAAGAATTTGGGACTCAGAACCAATGGAGAATCATTGGAAGAGTCTAATGAGTCAAGTTCTTTGCTAAGCATTTTGGGAGTGTAAATGCTCTAGGCATAACCCCAGTGACCGGTCACTAATGGCATTTTAGGAAGCCTTTCCCCACAATTCCATCCTGTTAGAAGAGCATGCCCTTCAAATGCCATTAAAACACTACACAGAATGGCCCTTACAGGATTTTTCTCCTGCCGCGACCGTTGTCTGTTGACCTTGTGCCTGAATGCCAAAGCAGGCAAGAGACTGTTACAGCGGTAGTTTTTGTATGGCTTCTTCAAGTGGAAACTGGTCCCACCCATCATTTGTTTTGCATTAATTTTGGTAGTCGGGAGGGAGTTTTCCTATTTGAAAGCATCTCAGTTAACTAACAGTAGTTCTGGTTCTCGCTGCCTTATGTTTACTACTTTCATTTTCTCCTGTCGATGGCTAAGTTTGATGAGAAAGCATTTCCCAGCCTGAGTTGCCTTTGCCCTGGACCCCACCCTCTGTGTTTATAGTAGTTTTTGGCCAGCAGAGGGCGCCACAGAGGGCTGCATCCTGTCTGAGGCACTCACTTTATTCACTTTTCCTTTCAATGAGATTTCTCTCTTAGGCAGATTTTTAGAACAGCACAAGGAAAGATCCTGTTAGGTTTAATAAACTATAACACTGGTTTTATGGTTTGCTTGTTTTCCAATATGAAAGAAAAATTTAAAACTGAAGACTTTTCAATTCTTTTTTCACAGAGTAAAACCCTCTTTTTTGGAATACTTAAGCTATCTTCTCAACTTCATGAGTGTCATAGCTGGACCTTGTAACAATTTCAAGGACTATATAGCCTTTATTGAGGGGAGACATATACACATGAAGCTGCTGGAAGTGAACTGGAAGGAAAAAGGTTTCCACAGCCTGCCAGAACCTTCTCCCACTGTAAGTGTTTAGTGCCAAGTATTTTACCCAGAGGGCCAGAATATCAAGTTTTGCTGCCAGGGCTGACTCTCACTAATAATTGTTTAAAAGCCAAACAGTTTAACAGAAAGTTTGGCCACTGACTTTTCCCTCCACTTGTTTAAAATACCAATATTAGTATTTATTTGCAGTTCTCTGTATTGGAGAAACAGATGTTTATTTCCCAGCGGAGCTCATTGGCTGGGAATATTAAAGCAATCATTCCATGAGTCAACCAGCCAATATTTAGTGCCTACAGTGTGCTCAGCACTGTACTAATTAACATATTCAAATCTATGGGTGTTTTGTCTTTATGAATAGAAATTAATATACAGCCAAAGGATAATATTCATAAAAGGGGGGGAGGAAGTGGGGACCAGAATAAATGTGCGTTTTTCTGTAGTACTCGCCTGTTGCCAGGGAAACCAGTTTTACACTGCCCAAAGCTTTGTTTTATTGAATTTGTTGAGTTTAAGATGGTTTTTTGAAATATTTTAATATGAATTTTATTAATCTCAAATTAGTCTACAGTAGGATAACTTATTGAACTTTATAAATATGCTAAACTTTAGATAAAAATATCCTATATTTAAGGGAAATTTGTCATTAATTGAAGGAATGGGGAAAATTGGATAAGGGAGGAAATGATAATTTAAATATTTCATAAATGTTAAAGTCTAGGCAAAGTTACGTATTTGAAATTTTAAGTGATTTATTAATTGAGCATGAATTTTCAGACGGTTTTGACACAGTTGGCTCCTCAGCACTTTCTGGTTCGTCAAATGTCTCAGCTCTAGCTCATTATGGGGACAATCTAGGAGTGAAGTCCTCATGGCTATGAGACATCAAAGTGACCACAGGTGTTTCCAGGCAGTGCCTGTCACAGTAGCTCTTATGTGTGTCACATGCTTTTATTTCAGAAAATATCATTGAGTCTTAATTAACATCACCCTCCTAGCAGACTCTTGTATTTTTGTGCACAGAGGAAGTGGGGAGATTGCGTTTTAGCTAAAGACACATTGATGGGAGGGGTTGGCACCCATGAGCTGGTTGCCCCCTCAGTGGCCAAGCGTAGTGAGCCTTTAAGTGGGAGCCAGGCACTGTTCACGGTACCTTATATTCACTCCCTTAAACCCCAACCCACCCTCTGAGGGAGTTAACATATTCAAATCTATTGCTATCCCTATGTTACAGATAAAAGTAATCTGTTTTTATAAAATTGGGAACTATAATTGTGTTGATGTTACATGACATTCCCTGGAATGCCAGGGAAACTGGGCAAAATCACTCCATCCAGAGGAACTTAAAATGTCAGTACATCTTAACTCCCGAGCAGACCACATTTATCCTTCCTGGAAGGTTTCTAAAACTTTCCGATACCTGCCCATTCTGGCGAGGGTATCTACTCACACGCAGAATCCTTCCTAACTAAGCTCTGTCCTTGCTGGCCATTCAGACCCATTTCCTTGGCTCTGCTGGCTACAGGAGTGGAAGCAAATGGCTATTTCTTTCTGATGGAAGGTTGCCTCCCTCTAGTATGTTTCTCTTATGTTTTGGGTAATGAAACCATCTACCCTTCGTTGGTAGAATTCGCTGGTAAATTTTCTTCCGTTTTAGATACATTTGGTCCTCAAGCATGAGGAACATATTCTGCATCTAAATAGAGCACCTACGCGCATGGTGCCATTTGTGCCAGGAGGAGGAAAGCCTGTTGCCACTCCTTCAGGAACAGGGCCAGAGCAGCTACCGGAACAGCTTTGTTCTTTGTGCGCCCTTGCCGAAATTGTCTTCCTCGTACAGAAGTCTCCTGACTAGCTCCACTGATTTTCTCCCCCCTAATTTCAGGGAGCTGTGATACACAAGTTGTGCATGACCTTGGTGTCTCTCCTTTTGTTTTTGACGCTCACGAAGACCTTCCCTGTCACCTGCCTGGTTGATGACTGGTTTGTTCATAAGGCAAACTTTCTGACTCGCCTGTGCTATTTATATGTGGTCATGCAAGCCTCAAAGCCCAAGTATTACTTGGCCTGGACGTTAGGTAAGTTTGACAAGTGGCCCTAAATGATTGAGGAAAAAACGATACTCCTTGAACGGCTTAGCCAGAATGCCGTTTTGGATCACCTAACCAAAAAAAAAGTCCAACACGCAATGAGCAGCAGTTGAGCCAGGGTCATCTTTTCCAGTGAAGCACCCCTCTTTCCCACCGTCATAAACTCAGTTGTACGTGATACGGAGAAAAGCCGTCCTGGTTGCTGTTGAACCCAATGGTACTAACAGAGGTCCAGCCTTGGAAGCTGCTTCTTCCACCAATCTAATGGCCATTTAGTGCAGTGCAGTTAGGGGAAAACACCAGAATGATCTGGCTTTCTTGTAACTTTTCTGGGTTGTACATAATACAGGGTAGACATTAATTTTACCCACACACGTACTAATTTAGGTTACTCTTTTTAAAGAAATTGTTGGTTGAGTTTTATGGCTTAGAAGGAAGCAGACGTCAACAGATTTTTTTTTTTTAAAGGTAGAAAGTTCAATTTAATTTGGTTTTCACACACTTTATTTTCTTCCCGTGATGTAACTTAGTCAATATTAAGTTTTCTTTTTCTTTTCAAACAATTTTAGACTGGAAAAGTATAAAGCTTAGCTGAAGTGAGCAGTAAACCCTTCTATTTACTTACCGGGAATGGTAGAGGATTTTGATAAGGCACAGCAGCTGCATGATTTCACACAGGAATGGGAGCTTAACACCTGAGCTGAAAGTGACTGTGTATTATGTTGAATATTGTTAAACTCAGATCCTAGTGCATAGCCCGTATTTCATGAGTGAGGGTGTAGCACTTACTAAGCTCCCCTTTTCTCATTTTATGCTCCAAGGTTTTAGCCCCAAATTAAAGTGAATTACTGAATTACTTTATTAGCATAATCNCTCATTTTATGCTCCAAGGTTTTAGCCCCAAATTAAAGTGAATTAGTGAATTACTTTATTAGCATAATCATTTTTATTGTGGTAAAAGTATACGTAACATAAAATTTACCATTTAAACCATCTGTAGTGTACGATTTAGTGGCATTAAGTTCATTTCCATGGTTGTGTAACCATTGCTACCCTCGCCTCCAGAACTTTTCCCATCACCCCAAACAGGAACTATCCATTAAGCAAAGTGAAACTCCCCATTCCAACCTCTCCCAGCTCCGGGTCCACATTATTTTTAAGTGTCAAATTGTTCAGGGATTAGTTTGGTCCAAAGTAGTATTTATGTAACATTTGGCCAGAGAGATCTCACTTAGAGCTGCTTAAAAATTTTCAGTGTAGAAAAATTTTGCGTCTCGTTGCATTCGGTTTAATTCAAGGAGTTTTTGTTGAGTACCAGGTTCTCTGCTAAGGAGGAATTCAAAAGGAGGATGTTCCCTGTCCTCGAGATTGTCACACTCTGTGGGAACATAGATGTGCACCCCAGCCAGGCAGTTCTCATCGAGAGCTGTCTCAAGCGTAGGCGGAGGTGACAAATACGGGCTGCTCGTTGGGAAGCCTTCAAACGTCTCCTTGTATCCTACTCCTTTTTCTGCAGTTGCTTTATTATTTTTAAATAATTTCCTTAGTTTGTAGGCATCATACCTACTATAGTTGGAACCTTACTTGGAACACCAGGCTATTATCGTATGTGAAATAGTATTTTTACTTTGCTCTGACCTGAGTTGTGTGTGTAAGACTGGGAGAGAGTCGTTCACTCCCTTTACCACCTCCTCGCTTTCATGTTCTGTATCCTGGGGTTAATGGCTTCTGGACTAAATCAGCTCCTGCTTTAAGGAGGAAAGAAAGGCCTTTCATTCCATGGCCTCATAGGGAAAGTCTAACACGAGGGTTGTGCTGGTGAGGTCTAGGTGCGGATGGGGTCACAGGGTGCAGGGGTATCTGGTATTGTTCTGTGCTTTGGGGAGTTCCCACTTCCCCAGCTGTTTGGAGTATAGAAGTAGTCCTTTTTCTCCCCCACTCCCTTTATCTTCTTTTGGTAGTCCCATATAATGCTTCATTAATTTGTATGGCCTCAATTTGAAGTTTGTTACAGTTTAGATTGCATGGGCTGGTCTGCAATTAACCTGTATATTATTTATAAATAAAGAAGCAGTGAACAGTATGACAGGGAATATTTAAACTGCTTAACTGAATAATTGTTTTATTCAGCTGCTTAAAACACCATTTACATATAATTGATGTACTAATTATACATGATTATAAATTTAATCCTTAAAGCCAGCCTCTTGATGAATCTCAGCTGAGCTGCACTGTGTTAGCCTAGTTCTAGTCACTATTTAAATTGAAATAATACAGCTGTTTTCTTTGGACTTGGTGTACAATTCTGGTTGTTTCCCCCTACTAATTAGTACTAATTAGTGAGACTCAGCTTTAGCCCAGGTTGTGTTCTCAAGATCACAAACTCTGAAATATGGGCACCTGAATTAATTGATCTGTAATGGTATGTTAGAGCCATGCACAATATGAGTAAAGCCAGTTTTGGACTGTTTTAATCCTTTCAACATCCCTTTAAAATAGGTAACGTTACTATAGCCATTTTACACTCAGAAGAATACGTTTCTAGAAGTTAGACAACTCTCCCAAGGCCGTGCATTTACTCTGTTGCCAAAGTGGAGATCTACCTCCAGAGCCTGCCCTTCACCACTATCTTCACACCATTGTGAGCATTAAGTGAGAAATGCCTGTGGAGCGATTGTAGAATCTTAACAAGTGTGCTCTTGCGCGCGCGCGCACACGCACACGCACACGCACATGCACACACACACACACACACACACACACACGATAGTTGCTATGATTCTGATATTTTTTTAAAGATCTGGCCGGGTCAGCCAGATCTGAGGCTGGAGATGGGAGAGGGAATTCAGGGGTTGCTATGCTGGTCCCAGCGTGGTCAGTCCAGCCCTGTTTTTAGTTGTCAACACAGAGCTCAAGGGCTCTTGCCCCAGGTTAGTTTATCCTCTGTCGGTCACAAATTTGTGCCCATACATTTAAAACTATTAGTTTCTTACCTGGCACACTCTTGCTTTGCTTTTCCACTGAGTTTCCATCGAGTTGATTTGGAAGAATGACATAGCAGGACTCAGCACTTTCCTTTCTTCTAAAAGAAACCGGATCACGTTACAGCGAAGCCAAGGGTACAATAAGCGACGTTAAATCATCAACTATGCCAAGAGTGAAGGAGACATAGAACAGGGTGTTTTTCTTTAGAGTAGTCTCCTGGAAGTCCATTCTGAGTTGGGCTTGAATTCCAGACCCAGAAGGCATCAAGCTACAGGAAAGGAAGGTTTCCCTAAGATCCCCTCCAGATCCCAGACTTTACCGTGCTGTGATTTAATTAGTTTTATTACAGTATTTTAAGAAATCATCAATGAACTTGAAATAAGGTAACTGAAAAGATAAAGTGATCCTCTTGGTCATCGTAGTGAAAGTATATAGATTTCATCACGTCTCTATTTGTTTACAAAAAAACATTTCATTGAGGAGTTGATTAGGAATGTCTCCTCACTGCTGGGGGACATTTCCAGAGCTCAGTGAAGTCAGGTAACGATGGTAACAGAGCTTTTAGACCCACTTTATGGGTGGGACGGCTTTGGTACTGTGTCTACGTGTGGCCTCCGTAGCAGCTTGCCTCAAATTCACATCTCTAGCTCTTTTTCTTGTGCTCTAAACTTTTCTCACCGCATCTTGGCAGCCCCAGCTGATATCCTACCAGCATGTCATGCCCAATATGTTCAGAACAAGCTCCACTTTCTCTTCCAGAGCTGCGTCTCCTTAGTGCTTTTACCAGTTAATGTCCTGTCATCTTTGATGACAGCTCTTGGACCTCTATGGGGTCCCTTGTTTCTTCCGGTCTCTGCTTCTGAGCTTAAGTGTCTTCTTCCCCTTCTCTTCTTATATCAAGCTGGTCACTGAACCCTCCCGTATACTGCTTTGTTTTGGTTCCTCCCTTCCCTAATTCTCGTGTTGCATTCTATGAGAATCTAGTACCCTTTTTCTTACTTAGCAGGTGCTCACTAAATGCTAGTGAATGAATGAAAATGACTGAATAAAAATTGAGGTCACCAAAAAGCCAAAAATGTTTCTCTGATTCACAATGGTACTGGGTTCCTTTAAATTTTTTTTGTTTCCTTTCCAAGTAAACTACCACATGCCTCTCGGTTTTAAAGCTAGACAGACATTGGCATCTTTTAAAGCGGCAATGTGACTTCTGTCCCGTATCCTAATGTGTTGTTTTAAAAACCATAGCTGATGCCGTGAATAATGCAGCTGGCTTTGGGTTCAGCGGAGTGGATCAGAATGGAAATTTCTGTTGGGATCTACTTTCTAACCTAAACATCTGGAAAATTGAGGTGAGTCTATTATGCTTCTGCATCAGGCTGACATCGTGAATGAAGCAGTGGTTTGCGCTGAGTGCAGAGTCCAGGGATCTTCATTGGTGTCCGAGGAAGAGCTGCTACCAGGGAGAGCCAGGGTCAGCAGCCTCCTGGGCATTTTGCATCTAGGAATTTTTTTCCCCCCTTGTTTTTTCTTTTTAAAAGATACTGTCTTGATTGTTTTAATGGTTCAAGGAATAATGACATAAAAAGTCTAAGAGCGAGCGGGGAAAATCTTTGATGTCTACATTCCTGTTCTTCCAACTAGAAAGTGCAGAGCCATTTTCTCTCATTCACATTCTACTTTCTTTAGTCAGGAACACAGACTGGAAGCTTCTGTATTTAGATTTCAGTATTGCAAGCGCTCCCTGTGGTTCCTTTGGAAACGTTGATAATCCATGTGCGTTTCAGAAGAATTTCCTTGGCACTCAGCTTCTAGGCCGCTGGGAATAGGGTGCCTTTCCTCTTTCGCCACAGTTCTCGATATGTCTTCATCGTTCAGGTGGTCTCCTTGGGGCCATGTCACTCCTGCCTTCCTTGGTGCTGTCAGCAATTGGAGCCGTTAGGAAGACCAGGTCTCAGACCCTTTCCTCCTTCCACGGGATGGGGGTAAGGCCATGGTTCTCAGCACAGCAGTGTTGGTTCTGCAGCCGGGTGACTCAGTGTTTGTGGTTGGTTGGAGTTTTCCACCCCCCACAGGGCAGGCCGAGTGCCGTTGGAGAATTTGGGCAGAAGGGGATGTGCGTGTAAATCAAGCAGCCAGGGATGTGGAGACTGGCCACCTGCTGCCCACGTTAGGTGGACATGGCCACAGGAAGTCATGGGGGTGATGACCTCCACCTTCATCTTGAATGGGCAAGCTCCAGCCTCCAGAACAACCTTTCTCATTTTTGGAAAAACAATCATCTACGGGCTTCTCTTTTCTCTGATGTCAGAGAGAGTACAAAGGTGTTATGGCTTTCCTCTCCTTTTCTATCAAATTCTCTCTCAAAACTCTTGGACCACTGCTGGCTGCTTGGGTGAATGTCCTTTACAGGGGCTCCCCTGACCTTTGGCTGCCCCCCCGTCTCCTCAGCTGTGCACCAATAGACAGGGTCATTTCACTGGGGGCACATGTTCAGAGTAGAGGGTGACTTACTACGTATTTGTTATAAAAGAAAACTGGAAGGAGATAGTTTGCATTTTTAATTGAGTTGCTATAGAGCAAGGAGCTAAACGAAACCATGGAAGTCTGATTGAGTTAAGGTTTCTTAAAGCTGTGTGAATAACAGCCATAGGAGATATGGATACATAGAAGACCTTAGGGTTTTGAAATAAAAACTCATAATACAAAATCTGTCTATAGCTTTCAGTGACCTCTCCTCTTCCCTCCCAAACATATTACGTTAGGCCAGTGTGTGACCTATCTAAGATTTTCTTATAGTTGAAACAGAAGAAAGTGGCACTTGTACTTCCCACCTTCATTGGGCATCTGGTTCTTGAATTTTGTTTCATGCTTTCTACCTCTAGCCTTTGACAAGATTTTTTTTTTTTTTTAACGAGGAAACCTTGTTGCTGGCTTGTTTTAGAATGCCTCTTCTTCAGTGGTTGATTTACTTGTGTCATTGCCAGTTTGGTGATATTTCTTTCTTTTCTGTATTGTGACTCCTTCATGCATAAAATCTCTTACTGTCCTAGATACAATAGGAAGCATTTGAACCCGTGCAGCTGTTTGTAGAATAACTTCACAGGACTGACCTAGTTTATAGATGGCCACACAGTGAAAAGATGACAACTAAATTCAGGCTGTCTCCATAAAGGCACTCAATTCACATGATTAAACTTTTCCTATGGCAAATCCTCTTTTAGGGTATCTAGTTTTAAAATTCAGATGACTTAAAATTTTTTTTTTAAGCCAGAGAGGATGGAAAACCCACAAAACATTCCTTCACTTTTCCTATAATTTGAAAATAAATTGAGCAAAATTGAGACTTTGCAAGCCAAGTTTTAGTCAATCTTATAAACATCAGAATGTTACTCATTCAGTGGAACAGCTGATATGCTCTTGACCGAGGAGTCACTATTGAAATAGCACAGCTAGTCTGCTGCCAGGGAAGTTGTGCGGAGGACTTTCCATTACTCGGGGTATTTTTAAAGCTAATGATAGGTGTTATTTTCTTCTTTTTAGACTGCTACAAGTTTCAAAATGTACCTAGGAAACTGGAATATTCAGACAGCTACTTGGCTAAAGCGGTAAGAAAAACAAAAGCAACTTCATTATTCATGGCACTGGGATGTGTTTAGATGGGAGTTGTTAGGTGAACAGCAACAGTCTGCCAGTAGCAGGGTCATCTGACACTTTTGTTTTGTATGTACATCTATGCCCTGTAAGTGAAAAAGTAGAAATATAGTGATGTGAGGTCACAATATAGCATATTTATTTTAATGTATCATACACTTAATCCTGCCATTCCTTGGTACCAGGCACTCATTTAACCCTCATTTCAGTCCAATGAGATGTTGGTAGTTATTATCCCCATTTTTCAGGTGAGCAAAGTGAGGCACAGAGAGGTCATGTAACTTGCCCAAAGTCACACAGCTAATGAGTAATAGGTGAGAGCCCAGCAGAAGATCTGCAGAGCCAGGCTCTTAACCTCTGTGCTGTGCTACCGCTGACCTAGAGGAGAGCCTGTTGATTGGATGTCAGACGGTCACGGTCAGCAGCATCTAACCACTGAAGATTGCTGTGTTTATCCCTAGCATTAAAAGCTTTATGCTACCCCAGATGTTTGTGCTTTTAAACTTTGTATTTTTGTTAATATTCCTGTTTTCCTACACATTCCAAAATTAGAAACATTGCTTATTATGGAACTGATAATTTGTTATCCCTGAATATTATGCTTTCACTGGAACTCTAGGTAGTGAATAGTCCTATCATAGAAGTGCAAGGAAAGTATAAAAATACTAAGCTATAGATTCTGTTTTTTGCTAAGTAGCATTTTTCTTAGGTGAAAACTGGGTAAAAGAAGAGACAATGTATAGTAATTCCCTCAAAGTAAGCTCATTCAGTGTTGCCTGGAAATTGATGAGAACATGCAATTTTTGAAAATTTGCCCTTAATAATATTGCCATTTATTTTGCAAATAAGTTTAGTATAAACCTCTATTTTTGAATATTGAGTAATCCCAACGTACCAAGAGTCCTACAGTCTCCATTAGGAGTTTGCTCTAAGATGACTGAACATACATGTGTGCACATAAATGAAAAATCATTTTAGAAAATATTTGATTAAAAAATATATAGAGGATAAGAAACAGTACTTATGCAAAGTATTCATTTTAAAAAGAAACATTACAAATGGGGTCCCAGTCATGTGTTTTTCTCCCCAAATGTGTTCTCTTCCTATGTAGAGGGAGCCATAGTCCTTAGTTTGGGTTTAAATCCGTTACTTTTGACAACCTGTACAGTGCAGGATTGGTGTTAACTGAGTTTGTTTTATTTTCTATTGGGGCCTCTCATTTAGTAAACCATGTAGTGGCTTCCTTTCAGTGCCATTGGCAATTTGTGTTTGGGAGAAAGTCACTTTGTTTTAATAATCAACAGAGAAGCCAAAGCTCTCCAGGGAGTTTTGCTGACAAATTCTCAGTCCACACAGTGAGAGCTGAAAGGTCCCACAGCCAATACATTGATTCTGGGGCTGGAGTCATCACCAAAAGCAATGAAGAGTGTTGCAGAGGAGGTTAGGTGGCACAGGGGCTAGATTAAAAAGGTCAGTTAGTTTTGACTAAATGATATCCACTTCTAAAGACCCTTTGTCTGATTCCAAGATTTTTAGTGTCAACAGCGCTTTATCCATAATTATTCCTGGTAGATTAGGCCATTGGTGGCAGGGGCTGGGCAGAGCCTGACCATGTGGATTTTTATTAGAAATAGGGTGTGGTTAGTTCCAGATCGTTTAGTTTTGTGGAGGTTAAAAGTTCATACTTCTCCCCAAAATATGGAGTGTGAATTGCCTGTCCTGGCAGTGTTCAGGCTGCTTGGATTGCGTGGCGAGTCCCTGAATAGGATTAGGCAGGCAGGCCCTCGGGGATGGAGCGAGTGATTTCTGTGTCTGACTCAGGGAGTTTCCGATGTGTTTGACCTGCGGCTCGTCGGGCCTGCCTCTTTACAGGGTGTGCTATGAGCGGGTCCCCTGGTGCCCCACGGTGTTCACCTTCATCCTGTCTGCCCTGTGGCATGGCGTCTACCCCGGGTACTATTTCACCTTCTTAACTGGAATCCTCGTCACGGCAGCAGCCCGAGCGGTAAGCTTGCTTTGGTTGTGGGGTCTTTTCCTTAGTAACCTGATGCCTGTATATTTGTTGTCATTCAGTCCTATTAGGAGTCGGGTGATGAGGGCATAGGAGTAATATTTTGAAAAATCAACAGAATTGCCATTAGAGAAATACTTCAGTATGTAGGAACGCGTGGTCAAAAAATGTTTAATCATTTTATCGTCACATTATTTACAGAGGGTGTAAAAAAAAAAAAATTTTGAGGAACAATGTTTAGTAATTTAAGAGAAGACATTTTTAATCATTAAAGGCTGTGAACATATATGTAATCTACTAATCACAAGTGACAATGATTATTAGTTAATGTAGGCTTTGTAAGACTTCATTTCTCATCTCACTATCCTAAACCTAGAAATAATTCAGAGTCTGTGAGCAGCCAGTAAAATTTCAGCCACAGGAACTGTGTTTTGTTAGAGATTGCTCTGACCTCTCATGTCTGGTCCAAGTAGTTTGTGTAAAATACTTTAAATTTTATAAATTTGGTTCTCCAGGTCTTTTGGGTAGTTTGTCCTAGACTATTCCTACTATTTGCTGGCTGTAGAGCAGGATAATAAAGGAATACAAAATTTGCCTTGCCTCAAAGAAAGAGATGAATTATGTATATAAGTAACTACAATTCAGTGTGCTCTTTCAAACACAGTTTTGTATTTGATTTCATTCCAGTCTGTGATAATGATTGTGGCTTTTCTTATTCACATGCCAACAGCTTTAAATGACATTTGTTGAACTGTATTTTGGATGTCGATTTCAGAGTCCCAGCATAGCTATTCACTTATTCTTAATGTATCTGTTCTGTGAATATTTCAGAAGCCCTATTACGTGTGGTCAGTGTCCTACGTGTTGGGCTACCACAGTGAGCAAGACAGGAATCATCCCTATGGAAGTTTTAGTTTAGTTAGGTGAAAGTTTGTTGGGATATATGTGTAAACAAAAATGGATAATTGATTACTACTCATTTTTCACAAATTAGTAAGGTAGGGATGGAGAGAAGAAGGGATGGAGAGAAAAATAGATTTCATTTTTTTTCTGAACAGACAGTGAAATCCCCCATGAAGTGTCTTAGACCCGGGAAGTTTCCTACTCTCCTACACGTTTTCCTACCCTGCCCCCGCCGTGCATGGCTCCTGTCCTGTGCCCTGGGGAACTCAGAATGAGGGGAGGACTCAGCTCACCAGGCAGCCCTGGGAAGCCTGTCCTGCTGAGACTGACCTGCCTCTAAGCCAGCCGTGGTTCCAGCTCTCCTTTTGCTTCTTGGATCTGGAGAAAAATTTAGTTACATGGGTCAAAAGACCTACACATGAGTATATCCTTTGACCCAGCATTTTCCATTTCAAAGAATTTATCAGGTTTTTTGTCTGTCAAATGGACATAATCATGCTCCTATGAGTAGGCTTGTTGGGAGAATCGACAGAGACGACACAGGTGAGCATTAGCACAGGCTTGGCATGCAGCAGGCAGTCAGTAAATGGTGGCTGCTCTTATTATTAATGCTAGTATTACTTTATTACTGTTATTCAAAGGAAATAATCAGGAAACAGTGCAGAGATTTATCTACCGGGATAGCGTCACAGAATTGTTTAGTGTAGCAGGGGGGTGGGACACAGCTAACTTTTCCATCAACTTAATATTGTATTGAGGATTCATACACATTGACATGGAAAACAACTTATGACATATTAGCTAAATGAAAAAGAACTAGCCCTGGCTGGTGTGGCTCATTCCCCTGTGCACTGAAAGGTCACCGGTTCGATTCCCGGTCAGGGCACATGCTGGGTTGTGGGCTCCATCCCTGGTAGGGGGCATGCAGGAGGCAGCCAATCGATGCTGCACTCTCACAGCGAAGTTTCTCTTCCTCTCTCTAGAAAGCAGTAAAAAAATCTTTAGTCTGTTCTTTTTAAAAAATATATTGATGCCATTGAAAACACAAAGTGGGTGTATATGAATAGAAAAAGGCTTGGGAGGATATGTGCCAAGTTTTTAAACAGTGCTTTTCTCTGGGAGATTTTAAAAAAGAAAACAAAATTGCTTTTGCTTAGTTCTTCTAATAATTTTCTACAGTGAACATGTAATTTTTTCACAGTAAGAAAGAAAAACCATGATGGCGTTTTTAGTTGAAAATGGACTCAGATGGTTGGCATTTTTGATACCGTAATGTCCCTAAGCAGCACCTGCCTGCAGAGAATAAAAGTTGTATTTTTAACCCTCCCCTTTGCCTTCCTTGGCCTGCAGGTGAGAAACAACTGTCGACATTACTTCCTTTCTTCAAAGGCCCTCAAGGTTGTTTATGACGTGGCCACCTGGGCTGCCACTCAGCTGGCGGTCTCTTACACAGTGGCACCCTTTGTCATGTTGGCAATTGAACCCACCATCAGTTTATACAAGTAAGTTCTGTTGTTCCCAGCTGCGTTCAGTAAACTTGTCTGTTTTCTCTGTGTTTGACCTAGGATTTGGTAAATGGAATCAACCAGTACTAACAATTTCTAAATATGGCTTCAGTGTAAAAATGGCCATAGAAAGATTGAGGTGGAAATGGTCATCCTGGAAATGCCAACACCAGTACAGATGAGCAAAGCTGACGGGAAGCCCTTCAGCCGCTCATGACATAACTAAGGGATGCTTAATGCAGTGAATTTTGAAGGGGCGGATCTGGGTTACAAACTCAGGGTGAATTTGCTGCCTTAGCCCCTTCCTCCTGGTTATAGGCTCTGTTGGAGGCTGTGGGCCATTCTGAGAGCAGGAATGGAATGGGCAGGTGCTGGGGTGCTGCCACCGCTGGGAGTGGTCTGCAGGAGGGCTCTGGGTCCCACGGAGACAGCAGTTTTGGTGGATGTGTGAAGGGATTTATGTGGCGAGTTGCACGGGGTGGAGGGGAGTACTTGGAGTTTAGGGTGGAGGAAGAGTTCACACCTGAGACAGGAGCCTTCAGGGGAAGGGTATCAGGCCCTTTATTCAAACACCAGTGCTCCAGCTGAACTGCACACCTGTCCTTGCTTACTCTCCGTTTCACTCTCATGTTGAATTAGGGACATTTCTCCACTCTTCCAAACTTGTGTGACCTCTGGCAAGTTACTAACCTCTACCTTTTATTTTCTCAACTATAAAATGAGGCTCAGACTGTAACCCACCTCAAAGTACTTTGTCAGGGCTGAATGAGGCAGATGTGGGAGGGGCTCAGCCAGTGCCTGCCATACCGTCTATTGTCAATAAATGCTGACTTGTAGTATGGAATGGTTTGCACAGGCTTTTGTACATTCACTTTGGAGCACAGCTATCATCAGAGAAGTGAATTAGAAATGAGTAGTGCAAACATACCTTATTTGTAAGTTGGGGATTTCCTGTAGTTCATTCACTGGTCAGGAATGTTCAAAGACACTTTTACTACTCAANTTTGTAAGTTGGGGATTTCCTGTAGTTCATTCACTGGTCAGGAATGTTCAAAGACACTTTTACTACAGGTGTCACAGGATGGTTATTTTTCAGGTTATAGGAGAGAAGGTAGAGGAAACTATACAACACTCATCAGTAAAATCTGTTTCTAAATACTCATTAGGTCATGGGAGGTATGTCAGTATAACATGGAAGTTGAGTTGGTTTTTACTAGTATACAAATTTTTCTAGGTAAGAGAACCCAGTTGAGTAGGAAAAGAATTATAACCTCTAACAACAAAGTTTATTTAGAATTGAAGAGATAAAGAGTTTCCCAGACAAGAAAAAGCTAAAGAAGTTCATCACGAATAAATCAGTATTACAAGAAATGTTTAAAGGACTTTTTTAAGTAGAAAAGATAAAATACAGGAGAGAAAAAAATTCTCACTGACAAGGCAAAGAGTAAGGCAGTGGATCAACCAACTATAAAGCTATTACAAAGATTAAAAAGCAAAAGTAGGAAGATCTTGTGTAATTAAAATAGAGATACACAATACACATGCACAAAAGTAAAAAATAATGACAACATAAATGTAGATGGGATGAGTAAAAACAATAGTGATTTTAGAATGTATTAGAATATAAATGACCATCAACTTAAAATTGACTGCTATAAACATAACTTGGTTTATAGGAAGCACATAGTAACCACAAACCAGAAATTTACAAGAGATATAAAAGAAATAGAAATGAATCCACACACAACACTATAGAAAGTCATCAACACAAGAGGAGCAAGAGAATATGAAATTTACAGGGAAAAACTACAAAAACAATCAGAAAACAATAAACTGGCAATAACTAATACCTATCAATAATTATTTTAAATGTAATGGACTAAATGCTACAATAAAAATACATAGGGTGGCCGAATGGATTAAAAAACAACAAGACCTGTACATTGGTGCCTATAAGAGGTCCACTTTATATCAAAAGACACACATAGACTGAAAGTAAAGGGATGGAAAAAGATATTTCATGCAAAAAGCAGCAAAAAAAGGCTAAGGTAGCAATATATACATCAGAAAAAGTAGGTCTCAAATTAAGGGCTAAAACCAGAGACAAAGAAGGGCATTTCATAATGATAAAGTGAACAATCCAACAAGAGGATATAACTTTTATAAACATCTATGTGCCCAATGTAGGAGCACCTAAATTACAAAGGAAATATTGATGGACATAAAGAGATAACAGTAATAGTAGGAGATGTTAACACCCCATTGACATCAATGTATTAATAGATCAACCACACACAGACTATCAACAAGGAAACAGTGACCTTAAAGGACACATTAGACCAGATGGACTTTATACATTCTTTTAAGTGCACATGGAACATTTTCCAGGACAAAATAAGTCTCAATAAATTTAAGAAGATAAAAATGAAAACACAATGACCCCAAAGCTATGGGACATAGCCAAAGCAGTTCTAAGAGGGAAATTTATAGCCATACAGGCCTACCTCAAGAAACAAGAAAATATCAAATAAACAATCTAATCTTACACCCAAAGAAACTAGAAAAAGAACAAAGCTCAAAGTAAGTAGAAGGAAGGAAATAATAAAGACCAAGTAGATATAAACAAAATAGAGTCTAAATATAAAAGAAAAAATCATTGAATCAAGAGCTGGTCCTTCAAAGAGAGACACAAAATTGCAGAACCTTTAGCCAAACTCATTTAAAAATATTTAGGGCTGAAATAAAAGAGGAAAAGTGATAACCAACACCACAGAAACACAAACGATTATAAGGAAATACTACAAAAAAATTATATGCTGACAAATTGGACAGCCTGGAAGAGATGGATAAATGCATAGAAACACAAAAATCTTCCAAGACTGAATCAGGAAGAAGGGAAGAAATGGGAAATCTGAACAGACCAATTACTAAACAGACTGATTACTAGTAAAGAAATTGAATTAGCAATGAAAAAAATTCCAACAAACAGAAGCTCTAGACCAGTTGGCTTTCACAGATGAATACTTTTTTGAATGTTTGGAACAATTCACATCTATTCTTCTCAAACTGTTCTAAAATTTTGAAAACGAGGGAAGGCACACCAACCTATTTTTATGAGGTCAGCTTTACCCTGATACCAAAAACACAGACCCTACAAAAAAAAATTAAAAAAAAAATTATAGACCAATATCCCTGATGCACATTGAACAGACTATTAAAAAGCCAAATTCAGCAGTACATTAAACATATTATATACTGTGATCAACTGGGATTTGGCCGCACCATGCAAAGTTAGTTCAATAATGCAGGTCAATTAAGGTGATACACCACATACACATAATGAAGAATAAAAATCATACGATCATAAGAAAAAGCCATTGATAAAATCTTACGTCCATTTATGAGAAAAACTCTCAGCAAAGTGGGGCTAGAAGAAACATACCTTAACATAATAAAAGCCATATATGACAAATCCACAGCTAACATATTCAACAGTGAAGTGCTGAGAGCTTTTTCTTTAAGATCAGGAACAAGAAAAGGATGCCCACTTTCGCCTCTTTTATTCAACACAGTATGGGAAGTCCTAGCCACAGCAATCAGACAAGAGGAAAGAAGGAAATAAAAGGCATCCAAATTGGAAAGGAAGTAAAACTATTTAGATGACTTGATACTGCAGGGTGGGGCAAAAGTAAGCTTACAGCTGTTCATTAGTTGAAAATAATACAATAAATAATAATACAAGAATAAATTCTGTTTTGCGTACTCACAGCTGTAAGCTTACTTTTGGCCACCCTGTATGTATAAAGAACCCTGAAGATTCCACCAAAAACAAAAAAACTAGAACTCATACATGAATTTAGTAAAGTAGCAGGATACAGAATGTTATATATTGATTTCAGAGAGAGAGAGAGAAACGTCAATGATGAGTCATTGGTCAGCTGCCTCCTGCACGCCCCTGACTGGGGCTAGAGCCCACAACCCGGACATGTGCCCTGACCCGGAATTGACCCCCAAATGCCTGGATCCTAGGTCGATGCTCAACCACTGAGCCACGCCCAGCCGGGCAGAAATTGTATTTTTATACACCAATAATGAACTATCAGAAAGAGAAATTAAGCAAACAAATCCCATTTATAATTGCATCAAAAAGTAAAATACCTAGGAAAACTGTAAGACTTGAAGATACAAATAAATGGAAGGATATAGTGTGCTCATGCATACGAACAAAGAACTTTCTTCAAATGTCCGTATTATTCAAAGCAGTTGACAGATTTAATGCAATCTCTATAAAAAACCAATGGTATTTTTCACAGAACTAGAATAAATAATTATAAAATTTATATGGAACCACAAAAGATCCTGAAAAACCAAAGCAATCTTGAGATAGAAGAAAAACAATATTGGAGGTATCACACTACCTGGTATCAAACTATACTACAGGGCTACAGTTTACAAAATAGCATGGCACTGGCATAAAAACAGACATATAGATCAATGGGACATAATACAAAGCCTAGAAATAACCCCAGGCCCATATGGTCAGTTAATCTATGACAAAGGAGGCAGAATATCCAATGTGGTAAAGACAGTTTCTTCAATAAATAATGTTGGGAAACCTGGACAGATACATGCAAAAGAATGAGATTGGATCACTTTCTTATAGCACATATAGAAATAAACTCAAAATGGATTAAAAACTTAATTGTAAGACCTGAAACCGTAAAAATCCTAGAAGAAAACATAAGCAGTAAACTCTTTGACACCGCTCTTAGTAATATTTATTTTGGAGCTGTCTCCTTGGGCAAGAAAAAACACACAAAACAAAAACAGGACTGCATCAGACTAAATTTTTTTCAAACTAAAGTTTTTTGAACAGCAGAAGAAATCAGTAAAACGAAAAGACATCCTGCTGAATGGGAGAAGACATTCACCAGTGATACATTCAAAAAGGTGTTATTATTGAAAATATAAAAGGAATTCATACAACTCAACACCAAAAAAAAAAAAAGGAAATTGAAAACAATATTTTGAAAGCATATATACACCCCTATGTTCATTTCAGCTATTATTTATAATAGCCAAGATATGGAAGCAACCTAAGAGTCTATTGATAGATGAACGGTAAAGAAGTTGTCATACATATAAACAATGGAATATTACTCAGCCATAAAAAGAATGAAATCTTGCCATTTCCTACAACATAGATGGACCTAGAGGGTATTTTGCTAAGTGAAATAAGTCAGACAAAGACAAATACCATATGATTTCACTTATATGTTAAACGTAAAAAACAAAGGAAATGAACAAACAAAACAGAAACAAACTCATACAGAGAACTGATGATTGCCAGATAGGAGGAGGTTTAGGGAGATGGGTGAAAAGGTGAAGGAATTAAGAAGTATAAATTGCCAGCTATAAAAAGTCACGGGGATGTAAAATACAGCATAGGGAATATAGTTGACAACATTGTTATAACTATGTATGGTGTCTGGTGGCTACTAGATTTATTGGAGTGATCACTTTGTAAGTTATATAATTGTCTAATCACTATATTGTACACTTGAAACTAATATAATGTATGTCAACTGTAATTGAAAAATGAAAATTTTTTAAATATGGCACTGAAGAGAAATGGGAAGTCAGCTTTGAGACACAGAGAAGGATCAGAGCAGTTATCCAGTGATGAGCTGAAACAGTACCTGGTAAAGCATAGTTCTAAAGACTATGTCAGCTGTCTTGCTAGATGGGTAAGTATGTAACCTTTGAGCAGATTTTTCTTATTATGGAGGTCCTATAAGGTGACTGACTAGGTAATCGCTGTCCTCGGAACATTTTGATAGCATCATTTACTTGACTCAGCTGCTTCTTTTCAGTACCTCTTGGTATGCATGGGAGTGTTGGAAAAAAATGTAAGATACCACATATGAATAACTCAAACTTTGAGAATAAAATGTTCAGTGTTTTAAGAACAAAATATTGGTTTCTCACTGTGTTCAAATATCAGAAGCCGTGTCTCTGTGAACCAGCACGGTGTCTGAACAAAAGAAAGGGCCCCCAAATGGAACTCACCTAAGTTGGGGGGATGTGTATCCGAGTTGAGTTGTGTCAGAACTGGAACTTCAGAGCTGGTTTTGTTGCTCTGGAAAGGACTCTGGTTACATTTGCATACATTCAGGACCCGCCACCGTGGCCTGTGGNAAAATATTGGTTTCTCACTGTGTTCAAATATCAGAAGCCGTGTCTCTGTGGATGAGCACGGTGTCTGAACAAAAGAAAGAGCCCCCAAATGGAACTCACCTAAGTTGGGGGGATGTGTATCTGAGTTGAGTTGTGTCAGAACTGGAACTTCAGAGTTGGTTTTGTTGCTCTGGAAAGGACTCTGGTTACGTTTGCATACATTCAGGACCCACCACCGTGGCTGTGTGTACAGTACAGTTCAAGGAAATGTCTGGGCATGACAAAGTCACCCAAGGGAGCCCCACCCATGGAGTGGGAGCCTGTGCTGGGACCTGGATCAGCAGTGACATCAATGCAGAGTAAACAGGCACCTGGGCCTCTCATCAGCCACATCTCACATTTGGAAGAAAAAGATTCTGTTTTAACTGAATCCATTTCTGGAACCCTAAGGGAAGCTGGTAGAAGCTGCCTGCCTGTATGCGTCTTTCATGAACCCTTCCTCAGTCTTCAGAGTGCATCCCTTCAACCTCTGATTCCATTCTCACATCTCCTTTTTCTCACTATCACTTGTCCTGCATANCCATTTCTGGAACCCTAAGGGAAGCTGGTAGAAGCTGCCTGCCTGTATGCCTCACCTCATTCATGAACCCTTCCTGTCTTCAGAGTGCATCCCTTCAACCTCTGATTCCATTGTCACATCTCCTTTTTCTCACTATTNTCTCCTTTTTCTCACTATCACTTGTCCTGCATACTTATAAGAGGATTACACTGGGCCCACCCATTAACCCAGAATTCTCTCTCCATTTTAAGATCCTCAACTTGATCCATCTGCAAAGTTGCTTGTGCCATATAAGGAAATATAATCACAGGCTCTGAGGATTAGTGTGTGGATATCTTTAAAGGGGCATTGTCCAACCTACCACACGTATGTATAGTGGCTGGTAGAATATAGGAGTAATTTTAACAATAGAAGTTTGTTGAACATAAAAAAAAAAAATTGTTACTCCTGTAGTTGTCTGCCATTCCCAAGAGACGGGGCGGCTTTGCCTTTTTGGAGATCCTAGTTCAGTGCTTTAGTACATTCTAAACAGTAAAACCTTATTGAAAGAACAAATGACCGAAGATATGTTTGCTTCTGTTGGAGCTCTTGACTTACCTGTAGACATTTTCAGGGAGGCATTCCTCTTGCTAAATGGTCGGGAAGTTTGGGAGATAAGGGAGTTATCAGATTCTAATGTGCCTGAGGAATGATACATGTCAACTCTGGGATTTTCCTTTTTCACATCATTTTCCTTTGATCTTCAGAAAGCACTGGAGAAAGTGTAAGTTTAAGTTCCAGATGGACATAGAGCAGTTGTACAGATGCAACCTGTACAAATTCTTGCATTTATTCACAAGCCCCATATTTATTGTCTACATTGTACCCAGCCAGTGTGCTGAATACCACACTTACGCAGCACAAGTCTGCAAACCTTGTTTATCAGTTTGGATGCAAGTTATTTTCAGAGTTACAGAGTAGACCTTGGATTCCTCTGCTCCCTAATGCACGCAAGAACCTTGTACACGCGAGTGGAGCCCACTGGCTAAAGTTCAGTTGCATTTGTGTGGGGAGCGGAACAAGCACAGCGTTTGAATTTGGACCTGTGCATTCTTATGCTTTGAACTTTGGGGGGTTCTTAGTCTTATTACACTGACAGGCCAGCACACCTCATGCCTGTTCGCAGATGGGCTGCCCGGTTTTGTAGTTTCAGTCCGTGCCTGCCCCACTCCCCTACCACAGGGCGTATGTGTGGGGTGGACAGAGACGAGCCCGAGTTCAGACATGTCCCCTCCTCCGAAAGCAGTGCCTCCACCCCAGGCTGCAGATGATGCAGTCAGGTTTGTGGGGCGTTTCCCGTTTGTATCCTTGTCTGAAATGTAACTTTCGTGTGTTTTCATTCCTAGGTCCATGTACTTTTATTTACACATCATAAGTCTCCTGATAATACTATTTCTGCCGATCAAACCACAAGTTCATATTCAAAGGCAGCCTCAGAACTCTGTTAATAAGAAGAAAACAGATTGATGTCTCCAAGAAAAGCTGGATCCGGAAAACTGCAAAATGTTGGAAAGATGAGATGAAAAGGCTCCAGGCAATGTTTACATGTATTTTTTTTTTTTTTTTTAAATAAGAGTGCAGGGAGTATTTTTATAATGCCTTTTTGTACCGCTGAATCAGCCATGTCCAGGTGATCTGTTTTCATAGTTTATGGGGCGTTAGAGTGGTGTGGCGGTGTGCGGAGAATGGGCCAGGCTTGCAGAAACAGTCGTTCTGGATGCTGGGTCTTGGCGCTTCTGGCATCATTCCCAGCCACCGAAATGCAGACACTGGGACCTGGACATCTGCTCCAGACGTTAGAAGGTGACTGCTGAGGCGTTTCATAGGTTTCTCAAACTAGAACATACCACAGATGGTTGTTCCTTGGGAAGCCGCAAATCCTTTGACTTGTGACATGACTGTTTGGAACACGGACTACACTCGAAGACCACCGGGAGCAGGGTCGGGGAGGGCGGTTTCAGGTACTGAAAACTACGAGCCAGGACGACTCACCGTGAACACTTGAATGGACTGAGAGCCAGCCATGCCCTGGAGGAGGCCGCATTTTTCCCAGGGGTGTCTCTCTTCCCCTTTTCCTTCTGAACTGAGCCAAGATTGTGAACCAGAAAGTCTCCTGGACAGGTCCGCCAGGCACGTAGGAGGGGCTGCTTTTCCCAGAGCTCTTTCCCTTACCCGTGCGCCATCTGCCTGCCCAGGGACGGCCTGAGAAAACAGCCCCGAGTTCACACCATCAAAGGCAGAAGACTGTCTTCGAGACAAAGAATTTTTTAAGAGTAATTGAAAGTTGCATAGAAGTTTGGTAAGAAGAAGACACTTTGCTCTTTTTTCCCCTCATTTCACAGCCATCATGGGCTGACTTTCGAGTCTCCAGTTTCAGAGCTGATTAGATCTGACTGTATTAGTTATCTTACTGGAAAGCAAGAACTGAGAGACAGTTTTCTGTTTTTGTTATGAACGTGCTGTGGCTCCTTCTGGGGACTTCTATTGGGTAATATTCTACATGGGAGAAAGAAACATAGTATTCAGTGTTGTGGAAAATAATGATGATGATAATAGTAAGTTATATGCTACAGTGCTATGCCCTCAATCAGATGCCTTAGGAGGAGAGAATTTGTTCAAATCAGACGGTTAAAAATTACTGAATAAAAACTGTTGCTCTGTAAAGGAAATACTTCTGAACAGAAGAATTGCATTTTGTTTGTATCAGTAGCGACCTGATATTCTGAAGCGTGTGTGTTTTAACAAATGTGCACAAATTTAAGGCTTCACACGTTGAAAACTTGAGCATTGTCACGTGTTTGGTTTGTCTTCTGTCAGGCGCTTGGATGGTTTTGGTTTTTGCAGTGATTTCCGACCTTCATTCCCAACTTTGTAGGTCATGCGCTTTGTTTTACAGGCGAGGAAGCAGAATCGGGGTGTTTGCTGACTGCCTCCACGCTCACAGTTAGTGGTGGAGCTGAGCGCTGAACCCACGCTGTCCCAGGAAAGCAGCCGGCTGGGGTCCGTGTCCCACTGGTACTTCTCTTAGGGCAGTGACGTGTGAAACAACGTGCTTGTCCCTTAAAGAGCTTTAGAGTCCTGGTGCTGGGGGAGAGTACTAGAACCTGAACTCTAGTTCTTGTGTGAAATAGGGGCTAAGAGGTAGCACATTTGGCTCACCCCAACTTTACCAGGAAATCTTGGGGTGACTACTTTGCTGTCTTAGGAGGAATATTAGATAGTGGGTAAGGGGTGGGGGAGGTTGTTGCCTAAAATCTGTCAGAGTCTGTGTCCAACAGGAATATTTTGAGGTGTAAGACCAAAGATACATGTCTTGTATACCAGCAAAGTAGTATTTACCCCCACTGGCATGAAGTGTATGAAATAATCCCTATCACACTGCAGTGTTTGAACTTGAAATATGATTTATGACCAGGTTTCACTGTATTTAAGCATCTTCAATTCTGAGAAGGACTTGGGTAGCGAGAGAAGAGGTAACCGCTAGAGTGACCAGCCTCCCTGCTTTGCCAGTCCTGGGAAGACTGGAACGTTTGGTCCCCCAGGTGACCACCCAGAACCAGATATTCTTTATGGAATGAAGTCGAAGCCACGCCTCTGGAATCTGGGCTTCTCGATGCTGTATGGTCAGACTTGGTGCTGGGCCTGACACATGGGCACATTTTTCTTACTGCGAGTCTTTATTCCGTACTAAAGGGACAACATGTAGGAGAGTAATGTACCTTTTCCCCTGAGAACATTACCCATAGAAAACCATTTTCATTTAGAACCAAATTTTCCTAGAAGATTGGGACTGTTTTTATTGCCTTAGAGATCCAAGTTGTCCTAAACATAATATTCATTTAATAAATATGTATTTATTACATTGATGAGATTTCAGTTTAAAATAATACATTTTATGGTTTTGTTTTTGAGAAAGCCAAATATAAAATACTCTAGTTTAATAGTTTTGTTTTTGTTATTTTACTGCTTAAGGTAGCCATAGGGAACAGAAACATTATTTGGTAGATGCAAAAAGCAATAAATAATTCAGTCTGAGATTTTGACTGGTTAAGTGAGAAAAAGGTGGAAACTGGGAGGTTAAAGGAGGAGTTAGAGGGTGGTCTCCGGAACTGGGGTTGGGTGCCCTCTGTTACTGTGCAGGCTCTGGGTGGTGAGCAGTGGCCTTCCCGGGCAGCCCTTCTCTACACTGGGTGTACATTGGGACCACATAGGAAAATTTCAAAAAGACTGATTGATGCCAGCCCTGTGAGGGATCACATCTTATTTCTCTTCTGTCTCCAGCCCTTGCCATGGTTCGTGGCTGTAATGAAGACGCAGTAAGTGTTGTTGATGAATGAGGGATTGAGTGAATTCGTTTAATGCATCATTGCACTTGACAGTTTTGCTGGAGTCATTTTTGCACTGGGAATTATCTTTTCTGCTTTTCAGAATTCATTTTCGAGATAAAGGCTTGCATTTTTAGGGAATTCTGAAAGCACATGATGTGAAGTAACCACTCAGGCAGTCAGTTTACATATTCTGAACTGCCCTGGTCCGTCCAACAGTTAATGAGTGCATTCACTTATTCATCAAATGTTGTCATGGCTGGTGTGGGCCTGGCACTGTTCGACAGTGCAAGTAAAAGATGTTTAAGACCCCTTCTGTGCCATCGAAGTGTTCACAGTGTGATCAGAAAGACATGATCCAGAGGGGTGCCCGGAGAACCCCAGCATCAGAATTACACAGTGATTGGTCGGCATTTTCTTTTGCTGTGAGCCTGCCGCTGTCTCATTTCACAGTGTCTGCAGGAGAGCAACAGCACTGCTCTCCAGCACTCATGCCCAGCACTTCGAGAATTAAGCCTGCCCCTGTCCTGAAATTGGATGCTGACCTTGCAACATATCAGTATTAGCCAAGGTAGTAGCTGCCCGAAGGAGCAAGCTGTGCTTTCACAGGTGCCCATAGAGGTGGTCAGGTGGCTAGTTCCCCTCCAGGAGGATCTTTAGTGAAGATTCCAGCGCAGTGAATGACCCATGAGGCCCATAAGGAAAGGTATTTGCTGGAGATGGCCCAACCCACACGAGCTTTGTCTACCTCCCTAAGCTTATGGAAGGCTACCCACCAGACACTAAGACAAGACAGCTAGCCGTCACTGACAGTTCTTTCACATACATAACCAAATGCTGCCTGTGAACTTGGTACTATTATCTGCTTCAGGCAAATGTGTAAGCCAAGGCTCAGAGACTAACTTTCCCAAGGTCACCCAGCTAGCCAGAGGAGCTGAGGTTTGAATCCTGGTCTGGTTAACCCCGAAATCCATCTCACTGCCTGATGCAGAAGCACTTTTGTTTTCAAAAAGACAATTTTCTAGCTGAAAGTAACTACAACTCACCTGGTATAGTCCATTGGTTCCCAAATGCACATTGGCTGGCCCTGTCACTTGGGGAGCTCTAAATATGCAAGGAACAGGGAAATAGATCTGCTGTTGAAAATTCTGACCATGCTATTTCCATCTTCTAAGGGGAGCAGCAGAATTCATATCAATGGAAGCCTTGTTCGTACCCTAGCTGGTTAGGAAGAAGGCAAACTGGTGGGATGAGAGCTGAGCTAAGGCATTTGATTCTGTTCAAGCTTGTCAGTGTTTGTTCTCCTAAAAGACCTTTTTAAAATATGATCCTCAGCACATTTTGAAATATGCAAAGGTGGGGCTAGATTATAAGTACTTGATATATGTTATGGGGAAGTGAAGAGGACTTTGGGGGAATTAGGCATACCTACTCAGGAGCAGAGGGAAGAGACAGAAGAAATTGAGGGCCAGAGGAGAAGAGGAATTCCCAGACAGTAAACTGTTCAGGGTGACCTTTAAGGATAGGAGGGTGTAAAGTGCTGTAGGGGACTTCCAGTCAAGGCGGTGGAGCAGATAAATGCTGTCCTTGCCCCCTCCCAGAGCCACATAAAAATTACAACTAAATTATAGGACAGCCATCATTGAGAACCACCTGAAGACAAGCAGAAGTTCTATAAAGAAGCCACAGAGACTAATAAGAGGGGCAGAGATGCAACACAGGCTGGCCCCACACCCACACTGGTGATTAAGAATTGGGAGGGATATCTTGCCTGTGGAGGCTCCCCCTGTGGAGTGAGGGGTACCAGCTCCATAAAAGGATCCCAGCCTGGGGCACCAGTGCTGGGAAGGGGATTGCATCTGAGTGAGATGGAGGGCTGCTGTTTGTCCTGAGGGGCCCACGCATGGACTTGATTGCTCAGAACTCACACACTCGTTGGCTCCAGTGCTGGAGCAGCAGCTTAAAAAGTGCCAGGGACATATGGGGAGGAACTGAATTGACCAGCTTCAGGGCACGGGCTGGAGGGGGAGGGGTCAGGGCAGCTGTCTCCAGACAGAAATGCCAGTAGGCGCCATTGCTTCTTTGTTGGCCTCTCCTCCCACCCCGCCTGCAGGAGCAGATGGGCGCCAAACCTGTGCTGTCCATTAACCTGGCTAACACAGTTCGCCTTGACCCAGGGATTCCCTGAGACCCTGCCACGCCCAGCTCAATCACCAGCTCAGGCTGCTTCCAAGGACTTTTCCACACAAACAGCCCGCCTTGGCTCCCTCTGCAGACTTTCCTAAAACCCCTCAAGGGTCCACAAACCCCAAACAAGAAGTGTCTGGCCTCAGTGTGGTCTATACCTCTTGCTAAGCGGCCCTAAGCCAGCACAAGTGGCAGCCAGTCTCAACCTGCATTGTAAATTCCATCAAGTAGCCCCGCACCTGTCTAAGCTGTGGCCAGTGCTGGCTTGGAACATAGCTTCAACTAAGTGGTCACAAGCCTGGCACAAGTAGCAGCTGGCCTCAGCTCACACTGTGGTCCCCACCAAGTATCCCAAGCCTAGCACAAGTGGCAACCAAATGTAAATCACTTGGCAGCTCCAACCAGGTGGGGTACAAATGGTGGCCAACCTTGAGCCCTTTTCAGGAGGCCCCAGAATCAGACCCCTCACACCAGACCCCCTTTAAAGAGGCCCCAGAATCAATACACCTGGTAGCCTACGTCAGACCACACCAGAAAACTACCCAACCAGTTCCACAAACGACACACCTGAAAGGCAGACTCCTCTGGCATTAGAGCCCCATTAAAGTGACTCCTACTTTTTGGGAGGAAAACTGAGTTAGGTTAATGAGTCAGGCCGTGTATAACAGCGTATCTACCATGCCAGCCCCCACAGCCAGTCAGCCTAAGGGTCAGTCCCACCCACTGACATGCCAACAGCAATAAGGCTTCGCTACAATAGGAAGGCACATACAAACCACACAGTGGGTACTCCTGGAGCACCCAGCTCAGGTGACCAGGGAGATAGCACCACTTGCCTCACAGGATACCTACTACATAGGGTCACTCTGCCAAGACTGGGGGATGTAGCTGATGTACCAAACACAGAAACAAGCACAGGGAGACAGCCAAAATGAGGAGATGAAGAAATTTGCCCCAAGTGAAAGAACAGGACAAAACTCCAGAGAAATAACTAAATAAAATGAAGACAAGTAATATACCTGATACAGAGTTCAAAAACACTGGTTATTAGGATGCTCAATAAACTTAGGGGAAGACTAGATGAACTTTGTGAGAACTTCAACAAAGCAATAGAAAACAAAAAAAAAGATAGAAAATATTTTAAAAATTCAGTCAGAACTGAAGAATACAATAACTGAAATGGAGAATACACGAGGGGGACTCAACAGCAGATTAGACGGAGCAAAGGGTCTAATCAGCGATCTGGAAAACAAGTGGAAAATACCCT